GACCACTTTCCTCATTATACGTCCAAGAAATTTCAGCCCTTTCTGATTGTTAGCAACAGTTTAAAAGCACCATTGTAAAAAATATTTTGCCCAAGAATGACATAAGTTGTTAACATTCAACAGATTTTGTGACTATTTCATTTTTTTCTTTTAAATTTCTTGTTCAGTGTTCTGGTCTAATTTTGTCCACCAAATAGCCTATTTGCAATATTCATAACTTAAATTTATGGTGAGAAGAAATCTCTTTACCATTATTCATTGTACAAAAACTAGTAGTGTTAGATGCATGCAATCTGTTCAAGGGAACTTGGCAAAAGAAAATACAACCCTGAGTTATATGGCATACAGAGTGAGGTAGATCATCCTCTCAAGACACACAAAAAATAAACTATATATTACATCATGCCATTTTGGGTAGCAAATAAACACAAACAATAGATTCAATATCTGCATAAACTTGCCTTGAAAAAAATGAATTGTACAGACCCCCATTAAAAATTAACATTTTAACAAGATGTCACTAATTTATTTGAGATGTTAGTGTCTTAGTTTTATTGCATTTTTTATTTTAGGATTCCAAGCAGATTTTCTGTTATTGGGGGTCTTGTTTGACCAAATAATTTCAATTATTTAAATTCTTCTAGGACTTGTCCTTATAATTAATATTAATTAAATGCTACAGAAAAGAACTTCTTGAAATTTCATAAAATTAAATGAGTGGAGAATAATAAAAAAAAATTTTTATACTCATTTCATGAGTATAAAAAGTAAAAATTTTTTTTTTTTTTTAGCAAGATTTTCTAAAAATGAAACATTTAAAAAAAATAATTTCATTCATTTGTGAATAAGTCCTGAAAGTTTCATTAAAATCCAACAATTATGATTTTTGCAAGAATTTCCAAATTAATGTATTTTTCACTGCAAAAAGATGCTCAAATTTCCCCTACAAATTTATGACCCCACGTTGACAACAGAACAAGATTCAAAACTTTTGTTAAAAATCTTGTTTTTCTTATGTCAACAGAAATTAGTATAGGAAATTTTAGCTTTTTTGCTGTAAAAAACACACTGATTTTGAAATTTTTGCAAAAATCAAATAATTTTCAGATTTTAATGAAATTTTCAGCACTTATTCACAAGAGAATGATTTTTTTTTTTTTTACATGTTATTACCCAATTACTTAATTTTACAAAATTTCAACCCCTTCATATTTATATTAATTAAAAGCGGGACTTCTGAGAATTTAAATCAGCAAACTTTTTGTAAAAACACCTTTTACCATAGATCTGCTCTGAAACATAAAATAAAAAATGCAATAAAACTAAGACATTATTTAATTAGAAAAGATTTTAACTGCTTTTATTAAAGATATAAGGACACCATTGTCTTAAGAAAAACATTTTATTCGATGAATAATGAACTTTTAAACAAATTGTTTTTTTAAAATTTCAATTAGAATAATTTATTAAGTTTTAAATCTTAAGATTCTGTATTAATTTCACCCTTTTAACTGATATTATTCAGTAAAAAAAAATATATATTTACTAATCATAAATGGAAAAGCTAAGTACAAATCATCAAAAACCAATATTTTCAAAAGAATTTTGAATTTGTTTTGTGTATAAACATGCCAATTTTTGTAGATACACATTATCAGAAAACAAGTGATAACTATAGTAACATTAGATAAACATCAATCTGTCAACTCAACAGCTTAAATAAACAGCTACCGCTGTGTTAAATAAATGCATTACTGCAATATTTTAAACTTTAAAGTAAATAATATTTGTTTCAAATCAGATTAACTATACTTTAAATTAGCTAATATTCTTCAAATAAATTTTCAGAAAAGTATATTTTACTTTTGGAAGATTTTTTAATAAAGAGAATTATATTGTAATAATAAATGCTGACTAAAAATAGCACTAAAATCATATTTTTTTTAGCAAAAACTAAAAAAAAAAAACAAACTCCTTTCAGTCTTTAATCAGGTATTTTTTAAAAGTAAATATGGGTTGTTTGATACAAAATACTGATTTATATATATATATATATATATAGATATCATCCACAGACTGTTTCGCTGTATCACAGCTCATCAGTGTAGCTATATAGATTACTTAATAACAGGTTCTTCCAAAAATTCTCTGAAAAATGAACATACATGATGAAAAAACATGTCCAAAACTTAAAAACAACATTTAATCGTCAAAATCCTTGTTTTATTAGGAGGGATGATCAAAGGAATTTTTGGTTTTGTACTTTTCATTTTTTTTTTACAACTCATTTTTAAAAGAACGGTTTTGAAAAAAATGTATGTATTTTTAAAATAAGCCATTTTCAATGACTCATTTTCTTATTACAGTCATCTATGATTTTTTAACAGCTAGATAAATGTAAAAAAAAAAAGACCCAAAAAACTGTTAGTTAACCAACGATTTTTTTTTTTTTTTTGAAAAGGTGACAACGTTTGAAACGATATACTTTTTTGACTCGAGTATTTTGCTTATTGGATATAATTTGAAATTAAAACTAAAATAAAAGCTTCAAGAAAGATTTTTCATTTTTAAAAATTCATTTTACCTTACCCTAAGTATCGCGAATCTGTGGAGGTACCTAAAAAAAAACAACAGGAAAATTCGTCGACTGCTAAAAAAATTACGTGATTTTTTTTTTCGATCTCCAGAATAATCGAAGCTGATTGAACTAAAAAAATTTAAACTTTTATGATTTTTTTTTTTTTTTAACTTGCTGAAAGTTAAATCCGCATTTTTAAAACTAAAAGGCCTTTTAGATTTATTTAAAGTTTTGAATATCCTCAGAAATATTCAAACTTGAGTTTTTAAAAAAGAAAAAAAAATCAATGATGCAACGTAGCTTTTTAAATTTCTTGTTTAGTTTGAATGGATTAAGTATTGAATGGTCTGTATTGATGATTACAATCACTGAAAATCAATATTTCTTAATCTAATTTATTGTGTCATTATTAAAGAAGGGCTCTTTTTAGAATTTTTTGATGAAATGCAAAATACCGTGTTACAATTACAACGGATGGGTTCTAATTATGGTCGTACCTCCTCATTCAAACAAAATTATAATATAGTCATATTTTTACACTTGTTAATTTTATTGATAATGTCATTAAATTTTGTTTTTAAACAAACTTATTCGTTTAAAAAAATATTGAAAAAATCTGATTTCAAGATAGCACTGACATAATGACTGTCGTTGAATGGCGCAATAGTTGATATCTTGCCAATAAAAAATAAGTTAGATTTTTTTATTAGCAAGAATTATTTAATCTTATGAAAAAAAAATCTTATAGCGTAAAAATAAAATAGAATTTGTTTGAACTGTTAACAAACAGTCCAAATAAATTTTATTCGTTATAAATTTTTTCAGCAAAAACATGAAAAAATAAACAAATTTCTAAAACATTTTTTTTAAATAGGGTGTCAAAGTTTATTTCAAGGATAAGTGTACAGTACTGTATAAATTATTAATTTTCCTACAACTTTGAATAATGAAAGGAAATTAAAAACAGCAACAGCAACACATATGATATGTTGCTGATTTTTTTTTTTTTTCTCAACCAGCTCATTCATAAGATTTTCTTTTCTGGGATTTTAAATCTCCCTAATTTGCTTGTGAACAGTTTTTAGTGAAGAAGTGCGATGGATTTTAAAAAGCAAACTTCCAAAAACAAATACAACTGAATTGAATGACGTCAATGGATTGAAGCTATATGACATTTTTGTCAGAAAGACCAAAAACAAAAGACATACAGTTACAGATGCTACAAGGAAAATAACTTAGTAAATTTTAATTCCTTTCCTCCCTCACCTCAGCGGCAAACAAGTCATGATGTGATTGATGATTGTCAAAATATATTTTCAGTACTCCACTTGTACCATATTGGCCTCAAAAAAAATAACAGAACTCTTCCAATATAAATAAAAAAACAACTTTAAAAGCAGTCTTTCGAGAAACAAAAAAAAAAATTCTGTGATTCATTTTTTTTTTTTTTATTATTTCTTCTCTACTCTCACTGGCAATTTCAGTTGATAAAGCTTTTTGAGGGCCATTGCTTTTTTAAATGAATTTATTTACTTAGGGGAAAAAAGGGTGGGATTTCTGTTTTTGTTCAGTTTACTTTCAGTAAGAAACACGAAATTTGATTTTTTTTTTTTTGTCAAATCTTTACTTTTTATTTGGGTCGCCACCAGGGTCGGATGATGACATTTTGGGGCTTCCAGGCTAACGAAATTATGGCACCTCCTACCTTCAGACGGAGCCACCCTCTGACTTGCCCGCACCAGTCTTTTATTTTTTTTTTTTTTTTACTCATGATATATTTTTTTAGCGACATAGATTGAAGTATTGCAAATTCTTTAAATAAACTAGAATAGCTACCTTGTTTGTTAATAAAAATATTCTTTAAGAAATTTATAAATATCACTACTTTTGCAAACCAAAATTGGCACATATGTCAAAGAAAAAAATCAAAATCGTAGTAAAAAAAAAAAGACATATTTTTTTTTATAACCAGCATTAAAGATGTTATTAAAAAATCTGTTTGATGGGCCCTAGGCTGCAGCCTTATAGTCCGGCCCTGATTTGACACTTTTAAACATAACATTCTTTTTCAAATTACCATTTTTTTTAAAAGATGATTATCAAAAAAGAAAAAAATATTTTTCAGTTATCCAGGACCATGATTATTTAGATTTTAAACTAAAGATTATCAATATTTTTTCTATCTTGAAAAGAAGTGTCATGTAGTAAATAAAAAAGGGCCCAAGAGAAGTTTTAAACTTTGAGAAAAAAAAAAAAAAACAACAACAAAAAAAAACTTCATCTCGCACCAGAAATAAATTATCAATAAATAGTGATTCTTGACATCGGGAAAATTTACAATTTCTAAGACGACGCCTCATCATACACAATAAGATTTTTTTTTAAACACAGTTTACTGTTTTTATAAACAAATGATACTTACACTTTATTCCTCCAAGACATTACTTTATTTGGATAGCATGCGATTTCGAATCGTTTACCACCCTTTTTAAGTCTGACCACAGCAACATTAGTCAGACGTTTCTGGTTAGTAGGAGTAAAAATAGACATTGATATCGAAAAAAGACACAAAGTAGAAAGTTAAATTAAAATGCCAGATGTGAACAATTTCTTTTCTTTCAAGTACTGCTTCTACTCGGTGTACACTGTGTACAGTAATATTTTTCTCAACGCATATGCGCTTACCGGAAGTTGAATGTATATCTTTTAGATTAACTACCTCTTGTACGTAAAAAATTCTGTTTCCGTAAATGAACAGAACCGGGTTATGTTTTTTATATATTTAAAAACTTTAACCACCAAAATGATATGACAAGAAAAGTAAAATAAATAAATAAAAAGTAACTAGATGATGCAAATATCTGTCTGATTGGCATTATCGGCTTTCTTTAAAAGATTTTATTTTTGCCAAACGTGCCACACAACCAAACCGGATTGCTTAAATTGAAGTGTGCGTGAACTGCTCAAAAACTCAACAATTCAAAGACTGAAAGTTAAGATAAACTTGGGGGGGGGGAAGTTGTGCAATGCAGTGATATTGTACTGCGACCAAAAATAATATTTCTTTTGGAAAGCAAGCATGAATATCATTTTTTTTAAGTTTATAAAAAAAAAATTAATGAAAAAGGGAGTCCAGTTTTCTCTGGAAATTAAAATTAATCCCCGTACCGAAGCCAAAAACAAAATATACACATGTCGCATTTTGAACCCCTAGGAATGTTGATTTCCTTCAAAACAATCAATTTTATGCCTGAAATAGTTTGATTATGATTTAGGCTTTCTGATTTTAAAAAAAAAAAAAAATGGCTAATTTCCCATTAATGGAGGAAATATTTGTTTAGAACAAGAAAAAAATGCAAAATTTTCACTATTTTTTCACATTTTACCCACTGAAAAAAATTTTGAGTCGTTTACACCAGCTAATTTTACTTTTAAATGAAAGAATATATCCTTTGCTTTCAGAAAATACCTAGTTTCATGGGGTTCAGATCAAAAGTTTCCTTGATATTAGTTTAGGTGATGATAAAACAGTCATTTTTCAATATTTTACCTCTATAAAAGTATGAAAATCCATTTTTTCAGAGAAAATAAGCTGTGAAAAAATGACTTTTGCCATTTTTGTGATGATTTTCACTTGGGAAAGAAAATATTTACCATAGGAAACCTGAATTGACTTTATTTAAGTTCAGTGGGGCTATAGGAAACCTCAAACAGCTGTGCCACGTGATTTCTTCTTTTTGAAACTTCATCGTAATCTGGTGTAGTTAAGCGATAGTAATATGAAAAAAAATCACTCTAGACTATGAATTTCAATTTAAAAAAAAAAAAAAAATTCTCATTTTAGAAATCACTTGGAATCAGCATATTTTGTTTTGGCTTCCATAGGGAGATCAATTTACAATAAATTTACAGACTTTACAGAGCAAATTGAATTGGTTATTATTAACTTTTATAAAATTTATAGGGGAGTTATAACTCTGAGTAAATTATAAACTCCTTAACATTTATACAAAATACATGTAAAAATGAGAAACAGCAAAATGTGGAAATAACAAAGCAAGTTTTATTTGTTATCTGGTTGTTATGTGGTGTTACTTTTTTATGGACATGACAAATTTACTTAAAATTGTTTCTCTTGATATGTATGATCTGGAGTACTTAATATATAGTAATATGTAAAAAAAAAAAAAAACAATAAAAAAATATTAGATAGAATAATATAATATACAACACTTATAATAATATAATAACTTATATATATTATATAAAGGGTGTTCTAATAATTTGGGCTGATTTTAATGAGAATTAAGTTTAAGCGTCTAATGATTTTTTTCTTTTGCTTTCAGATTTGGGGGACATTTGGGCGATATTATTTTTCACACATAATTGCCATAACTTAAATAACATGATCCAATAGAGAAATAAATAAATTTTCACTAATAACACTGATTTATTTACTGCTAACTTTGATCCATTTTAATGAAACAAATTATTATTATATATATATATATATATATATATTAATATATATTATATATATTATAATATAATAATAACAACTTATATAATAATAGTAATAGAATAAAAAATAGAATAAAAACTGTAAAAAATAGTAAAAAAATTTCTAGTCGCAGTGCCTATTGTATAACTGCACTGAATAATCTGTTAAAAGTAAAATGATAAAGATCTTGGGAAAAATAAAATCATCAAATTATTTAGTATCAGACTAATATCTTTATCTTTGTCATTATTATCATGGCTTTAAGTCATTGTGCTCTCTGGCCTTCTTCAGGTGTCTGCCAATCTGGGTAAAGTTCTGGTCCCATTTCAGAATCACCTAGAGAATTAAAGTGTTAGTTCATGAATTTGTTAGCATACTAATTGTAAGTTCAATTCCTGGGCTGGGTAGTAGTATTAGTAGTAAGCCTCCATCAGTCGGTGTCAACTATAGGTGATGTACCCTGGTGTTAAGTCATGTCAATGCTCTGGAACAGGTTGGTCATATGGTTGTTTCTCAGGGGCATGCTTTCCACATTAGATTTGACACAGTGTCACAAGTTTAAGGTCACCCAGAGGGAAACAAACTCACTATTAATGATATATGAGATTGGATTTGTGTAACAAACCTGACTTGAATTTGGACTTGACTTTCTGATTTCTCATTCTGAGCAGCTATTCTTTACACAACCCATACATTCCAAAAAGAGAGATGAGAGTCAGAAAGGTAGCCATAGAGTAGATTGCTAACCATGATGAAACATCTTTCATATATTATGATGGATATTTTTTTAGTAAAATTTAATCACCAATGGAAATACAAGCATTTTTCTTAATAAATATGAATACAAATATTTATTTATGCACTATTAGTTGGGATCAAAAATATGTTTGGGCAGCAAATTAAATTCCCAGCAAAAAGAGGCCATATGTTTACAGTTCCTATGTTTACCATCAAACAAAACCTATGGCTACCTTTCTGACTCTCATTTCTCTTTTTGGAATGTATGGGTTGTGTAAGGAATAGCTGCTCAGAATGAGAAATCAGAAAGTCAAGTTCGAATTCAAGTCAGGTTTGTTACACAAGTAACTTTGGGAAAGATATACATCAACCTCCTCCAGCTTTGGGCTAAATAGTTGGACTTGTATCTGAAAAAATCATTGTTATTCTCAAAAAATTATTGATGCAATATTCATTTGCAAAGAAAGAAATATTCTTAAAATCCAAAATGTGTTTGGTTTTAAAGGGTTAATAAACCATAAAAAATCATCAATCTATATTTTGACTCCTATACAAACCAAACCCATGTCTATCTATCTATTGTATGACAGAATTTGGCATTAAATAGCCTGTAAAATGTTGATATGCCATGAAGCCAAACCAAATGTTTGTGGTGTTTTTCCAGATAGACATGTGCATATGTGCATGCATATATGAGTTCAGTTAAGAGATGACCTTGAAAATGAACATGCCCCAGTGGGGGACATTTTACCCACGTTCTACTACCTCTGAAAGCAAGAATTGAAAAGAGAAAGAGAGAGTATATGATTGCCATTTTTATAGACTTAAAGAGTGCCCTCTATGAATTTCTTATCTAGATCCATACATATAATTCCAATGGAGGGGTTTAAAGATTTAAACTTCTCAATGCTTTATATACAGTGATGAAAATTATTTACAAAACCAAACAAGCCGATGTCGATGAAATCAGCATTGGCTTCATAGTAAGTCAGTCACTCAGAAACAGCTACTGTGAAAACTGCCTGGGCCTTTTTCTGATTGGTCAAAAAAGATGTTTTATGAACCAGGTATTTTTAGACAATATTTCAGAAGTGGGTGGGTGGAGCCGGACGAAATTAAGGTCTATTTTTGACCTTTTTGTCATATGAGCTGTGGACGTTGAAGAGAGTACATCTGTTTGAGTTTAAAGAATTGGAGTCTCCACAATGTAGGATAGTGATTATTATTAGGAGGTTTGTAATAAGAGGTGATAATAAATAAAAATGATATTTTCTTTGATAAGTAAATTTAATATTTATAATTACTTACTTTAGATCCACAGCAGTACCGTACTCGATGCTAATGAGATGAGATTGTTTACCATAAGTGACTAAGTACAGAAATAAATTAAAATAACATCGTATTTTAGAAATTAAAGGGAAACAACTCTTGCGAAAACGTTAACAAAGTAGTTCCTCTTGTATTGAGTAACCTCAGCACTACCGAAATAACTAGGTGGTGGTAGTAACATGGCGGATGAGGTTGATCTATTCAAGTAAACATAATAGAATGTACTTTAAAGACCTTAAAACTTTTAAAACTATAATGCAAAATAAATTGGATTGTTAAAGTAATTTTAATACCAACAGAGTAAAGAAGTTTCCTTTTTAGTAAACTTAAAATACAATTATTCCTCTGGTTCGAGATTCTATTAAAAAAAATGATAAAATTTGTGAAACATATTTTATGCTTATAAAGATCATTTTTAAAGAAAGAACAAACTTTTAACCTTATGCAGCTTTTATTGACTGATTTATTTTTTACAGTTTATCAACCTTCTTCAGGTTATTTAAAGCCAGAAAATATTTTTAAATTGTAACACTTTTTGGGGGGAGATAATAATGATTCACTGATACAAGTCCTACTAATTAACCCATAGCTGGGGGGGAGACTTTCCCAAGAGTATTTGCATGTAAGTGAATATATAACAAAACCAACTGGAATTGGAAATTGGTGAGCCAATTTCCAATTACACCTGCACATCCAAACTTACAGCACCTGGTATTCCCAAGAAGTCACCCATCTAAGTACTGACAAGGCTCAACATTGCTTAACTTCAGTGATCATGTGAGAACAAGTGTTTTAACATGATATGTTTGTAAGCTTGGGAATACCAGGAGCTGTAATTTTGGATGTGCAGGTGGTGTAATGGATAACAGCTCAAAATTGAAAATCTGAGAGCTGAGTTCAAATTCCAGTTCAATTCATTATATTCACTTACATGCAAACACCCTTGGGAAAGGTATGAATCCACCTCTTTTTGACCCAGCTGTGGAACTGTATCAGTAAATTATTATTATCTACAAAAAAATTCTTACAATCTTAAGAAATATTTTCTGGCTTTAAATAACCTGCAAAAGGTTGATAAGCTGTAAAAAATCACTCAATCAATGTTATTCTTATGATGTTTTCTTTTCCATACTGATTCAATTTGTCAGGTATGTAAATCTCTTGTATTTTATAGTGCTTTACTAAGCATAGCTCAGATGTGGCACAAGGCCGAAAGTATGGAGCACCCAGTGAGGATCAAACTAACTACTCAGTCATAATTGATATGGTGGGACAAGCTTGATAATGATTTCACCATGTTAAAGTGCCCACTTGTGTTTTATACTTACTGTATTAAGTCTATTTTACATGTTTATGCTTTAAAGAAATGTAAATGTATATATTTTTTTAAATCAATTCACCCTGAACAAGATGATAATGCCACAAAGATGCAAGGGACTACTGGGAGTAAAAAAAAGAAAAAAAAACTTTAGAAGGAACTGGAAATCTAATCCTAAACAAGAAACAAGGGATAAACCTTTACTCCTGTTCAGAAGACTGGAGAGGAGTGTGAACTGGACAATAGGCAAGCCTACTAAAGAAAAAAATGAATAGTAAATAAAATTTTAGGGTTTTAGCAGATATGTTAGAAGTATAGAGTTGAAGCAGACTTTTGAAAGAACTGGAAATCCAATCCTAAATAGCAAACTAGTAATAAGACTCTACTCCTGTTCAAAAGACCAGGGAGGAGTATGAACCTAACACTAGACAAATTTATCTACTCCTATTGGCAAACAAAAAGTAAATAAAATTTCAGAGTTTTAGGTGGAGATGTTAGAAGTATAGAGTTGAAATAGACTTTAGAAAGAACCAGAAACCCAATCCTAAACAGGAAACAAGGGATAAATCTTTACTCTTGTTCAAAAGACTGGGAAAGTGTATGAAGTGGACAACTTTAAGTGTGTGCAAAATCTCTCATCATCCTCTGTATTTTATTTTTTAATTGGATATTGAAGATTCCATATAAAAGTAGCTTATTAATAGATAAACCTCTATTCCTGTTCAAACAACCAAAGTGGAGTGTGAAGCAGACAATTTTAAGTGTATGCAAAAGTTCTCATCATCCAATGTATTTTTTGCTTTTTTTTAACTAGATTGAAGATTTCATATAAAGGTAGCTTATTAATAGATAAATAAATACAGGAAATTTTTTGCATGCATACATATTTCTGTTTCATGTGAATAAATTAGAAATACCAAATAGTGTTAAAGTTACTGAAATATAAAATTTGAGATTAATTTTGCTATTTAAATAATGCTGATGTCTACTCAAACATGTAAACCCACTGAATATAATGATTATAGTAATAACATTTAAGTCTTTCTAAAATTGACATGAACTTTGAGTTCATACAGATACTATTTTATTTAGTTCAATAAAAATAACTTGACCTTTAAGATTTGCAACTGTGTAAAAAAAGTTTCTAAACAAATGTGTCACAAAATTTACATATAAAATTTTGCAAAAAAGATGTTTTGAGCTTTTCATATTATATATTAAAACCTTTAGCATTCTGTATGTAGGTGACTTCATTTGTTAAACAAAATGATTGTACAGCTACTACATACAACTCTGATCATCAGACAATAGGGTGATTGAATTTTGCCCTAGTGTTGTCATATCCTACTATGGCAACAGGAAAATGACTAACTGAAAATCAAAGATGGTGCTACTGCAGTTGTCTGGCCACTTATATCCAATGGAGGAGGATGAAATACTTATGATTATTTCAGAGTGCTAACAGGATTAAAGGAAATGCTCTTTGTGTGTGTGTGTGTGTGTGTGTGTGTGTGTGTGTGTGTGTGTGAATGCCTCTATTTGTTTTTTACAGCTTATCAACCCTTTCTGTGTTATTTAAAGCTGAAACATATTTTTAGGACTGTAAGAATAATTCTTTTTCTGGCAAATGAATATTGCATTAATATTTTTTTATGATACAAGCCCTACTATTTAACTCATATAATCAGATACAAGTCCTACTATTTAACCCATAGCTGGAGAGGAGATGAATTAATAACTTTCCCAATTATATTTGTGCATAAGTGAATGCAATGAAGCTGACTGAAATTCAAACTCAGCTGTCCAATTTCCCATTCCAAGTTGCCATCCATTCTAGATGCGTATGTGTGTATGAAAGAATGGGGTTTGTGTTATAACAGTTTGGTTATAATGGACACCTCAGTGTTGAGTAATGGTTAAAGAGCTAGTCTGGTTGAATATTACTAGTGTGTAGTGAGTTCAATTCCCACTGTGTGCCCCATGTTTGTAGTTTTGTGTCAAAACTAAACTAAACTGAATGACAAGTTTGGTCATATTGATCATGTGATTGCTTTTAGACTGTGCATGCAGATACGCACACACACTTATATACAGTAGCATACAACACACAATTGGACCATTCTTTAAGACTAATTAAAACATCATATAAAGATCATTAGATTATACAGTAACTGCACTAAAGTTATATTGTAACTTTATTAAATGGACATCATGCAAACTATAAAAAAAATGTAATGACATAATCATGAGGTACACATTCTACACCACTTCAAATAAAACGTTAGGAAGGAAACCCCCATCAATACTAGAAAGAGTGATAAAAACTACTAGACTTGAGAAATCTATTTACCTAAAAAAGATTTTTCAGAGAAAGATTTTATAAATTTCAACCGAAAACAGTACTGGCTGCTTGGTCAATGAATGACAAATCTTTTCTGGTAGGGAAATGGCTAATATTACTGTAGTGATTCATAAATAAGAAGCAGGAGTTGCGTCCCCTGTTTTGTTAGGTTATAGTAAAAAAAAAAAAAGGAAGTAGAATTCTCATAATGCACAGTTTTGGAACAAAAAATAGAATATGTTTCTCTCTCTCTCTCTCTGACCATCAACTGTTGGACTAGAAAAGATGTCTTTTCTCAAACGAGCTCACAAGAAAGATGTCTCTTCATACAGATAAACCTAAAACCATTTCTTTCTTTGCATTAATACATGCAAATCAATATATATATATGTTCTGGGAATAATATGAATCAATTGTGACCAATTATTTAATCAAAAAGCAATCATTTAATAAATATTATATATATCTTGTTGCAAGCACACTGAAAACAGTTCATATTTTATTCTATATTTTATTTCCATATTTTGTGGATGGATGGTAGGAAATAACAAAACCAAGAACAAGACCTCATATCATTTGCATTCCTACAATATTACCATTCTCAACATCATATTATCATTTTAAAGGAAATAGAATGGCTTACACTAAAGAAAAGCATTTGACAAACGAAAAACATTAGCAACAAGTCACCTCTGTATTCCATTTAAATAAAAGACCCTTCCAAAAATTAAATAGTCTTTATACTGTTGTAGATATTGTGTGGTAGGTAGGATTTTCTTTACTGGAAACTTTGGAATAAAACAAACAAGGTGGATATTGGTAGCAGTCTGAAGAAATGTCCATTAATTATTGTTTTGAAGACAGACCAAGATAGGAGGAGTAATAATGTTATAAATAGGTCAATGTTAATCTACTGTGTTTTTCTCAGCCTGAAGCAGGGCAGAAATATAATTAGCAGATGGCCTCTTAACTGCTCCTTCACGTGTCATGCATGATTGGTTTCTATGTGGTAGTGTCTTCGTTTGTCCTCTCACCATCTCTTCTGCTGTCCTCCCTCTGGTTCTGACCCAGAGATGCCAGCTTATATACTCTTGACCAGGCTCAGAGTTTCTGGTGGAAACTTTGGCATCAGCTAACATCAGATGTCTTTTTGTATTAATTTTTTTGACTGGCCAAAATTGTTTTATTTTTTTTAGTGTTCCTTTCTTTTACATTTTTTTTATAACGGAAGTTGTGTGGAGTCTAATTGATTTTTGGTATTTTCAGTCACAAATAAATAGGTTCTGCTCTTGCAAACTTCTGGCTTTTTTTGGCCAGGTTCAGTCTTTTCTTCTTCCTCTTTTTATTTAAGGGTTCCCTTCTTGTTAGTTGAAAGTATAGAAAGAGAAGTTTAGAGAGAGAAAGAAAGGGATAAGGGTTTTAAAGGAAAATGCAAATGCCTTATTTTAATTATAATTCTTTTTATTTTTGTTTATATATTTTGTTTTTATATATTATTTTTATCTTGACTCATTATACTGTTATGTAACCATCAATAAAATAGTGAAGAAATCTCAAATTAAAGATGAAATAAAGAAGGAAGAAGTAAAACAAGTTAAATTTTGCTTTTCTTATTTTTAATAAAATTTTAAAAAATGACTCCTACTTGGAAGTTAATAAGTCAAATTAAAAGAAATGACAAAACAACTAAATAAATAATTTAATCACTGAAATTAAACCAAAATTATTTCAAACTTCACAAAAGTGTAACAAAGAATTGTCATTTGGCATTGATCAGTTTATATTCAGCAGTACAATTATTTGACACAGAGTACATTGGCTTATTTTTCATTTGAGAGAAGGCATTCATTTGATATTCTAATTAAAATACACTGTAAGAACTCCTACAGAAGATAGTGAAGGAAAGCAAGAAAAAATGGTTAAATATCAATTGCAAGAAGACAGAATATATAGTTGTCATCAAAAGGAACAGTCTAACATGCAAATTACAAATCTGAGATGTCAAAATCAAGCAAGTACAAAAATTTAAGTATCTGGTAAGTGTTTTAACAGAGGACAGAATGTGCAATGCTAAAATCCAAAGGTGCATTGGGATAAAGAAAGATGATTTCCAAAAGTTAAGCAAATATTAAGAAAC